GCTTATAATAGATCTAGGCATGCCATGCAATTATACTACACCGTCCACAAATCTCTCTACTACGGTCTTTGCTGAGAACGAATGAGATAAAGCAACAAAATGAGCAGACTTGCTGAAGCCATCGACTACCACGAAGATGACAATTCTTCCATTAGAAGGTGGGAGTCCTTCGATAAAATCCATTGTGATATCATCCCATACCTGACACGGGATCGGCAGAGGTTGTAGAAGTCCTGGAGGGGAGAGGGTTTGCGCCTTTGCTCTTTGGCATGTGTCACAAGCAGAGATATACTGGTAAACTGTGTTGCGCATTGTAGGCCAGTGAAATTGTTGGGCTAGGCGTTTATAAGTTCTGAGTACACCTGAATGACCTCCCCATGGAGAGTTATGAAATTCTTGTAATAACCGCTTATTAATCTCAGTATCTGGAGGTACCACTACCCGGTTCTTATAGTAGATCAGCCCATTTTGTTCTGTGTATGGTTACCCTGGTTTTTGGGAGGCGAGTTTCTTGAGTTTCTGCATATAAGGGTGCTCGAGTGCTATCTTCCGAATGTTGTCCCAGATATTATAGTGGGGAGCAGATAGGCTATGTAACACCAGACTTCCTTCTTTACGAGAGAGGGCATCTGCGGCGGAGTTTTCCTTTCCTGATTTGTAGAGGATCTTATAGTCATACCCGAAGAGCTTAGACATCCATTTCTATTATTCTGGGGTAGTGATGTGCTGCCCTAGAAGATATTTGAGACTTCTTTGATCTGTCTTGATGAAAAATTTATGGCCAAGGAGGTAGGGTCTCCAGAGTCGTACGACCATAATTATTGCTAACATCTCTTTTGCATAGACGACCAAGATTGCTTTGATATTCCGAGGGCTCCGCTCATATAGGTTATGGATTGTCCGTTTTGAGTGAGGACAGCCCCAATTCCTTCTCCTTAAGCATCAGTCTCAATGGTGAAAGGCTCTTTGAAGTTGGGTAAAAGCCAATGTCAGGGTGGTGGTCATAACTTTCTTTAAATTTTCAAATGCTTCCCCATCTTTTGGTGTCCATTCAAACTTCCCTTTCTTTAATAGATTGGTCAGTGGTCGAGCCAGAATCCCATAATTACACACAAATTTTCTGTAGTATCCGGTCAAGCCTAAGAAGCCTCTAAGCTCGGTGATGTTGTTTGATGGAGGCCAATGGGTCATAACTTGAATCTTCTTCTGATCAACTTTTACCCCGTTATGGGTGACAATGTGCCCCAGTTATTTTATCTCTTACAATCCAAACTCACATTTTTTTTGCTTGAGAAATGATTGATTTCGCTTTAGGACTTCTAGTACCTGCCTCACATGATCGAAGTGGAGGGCCCAAGTTGTACTGTAAATCAAAATATCATCAAAAAATACCAAAACAAACTTACGGAGGAATGGACAGAACATGTCGTTCATGAGAGCCTGGAATGTAGAAGGAGCATTGCATAGGCCGAAGGGCATCACCAAGTATTCATAGTGGCCGCTGTGAGTTCGCAAGGCTGTCTTACACACATCGGAAGGGTGTAATCGGACTTGGTGATACCCAGCTGTTAAGTTAAGTTTGGTAAAAAAAGTGGCACCATGTAGCTCGACAAGCATGTCATCAATGGTTGGAATAGGGAACCAGTCTTTGATAGTGACCGCGTTGAGGGCCCTATAGTCGGTGTGGAATCGCTAGGTGCCATCTTTCTTCTGTACGAGCAACACTAGGGATGAAACGGGGTTGGTGCTGTGTTGGATGATCCCGCTCTAAAGCATTTCATCCACCTTTTTTTCTATCTCAGCCTTTTGAAAGTAGGCGTACCGGTATGGGCGGACATTTACTAATTCCCATCGCGAAGGTCGATGTGGTGGTCAATCTTCCGAGCAGGTGGGAGTGAATCCAGAGTGCGAAAGAGTGTTTGAAATTCATCCAATAAAGCCTGTATTTCTAGCCTGGATGTTATCTTCTCCGTTTTCTCTGTTTCTGCGAGCATGCAAAGAGCAAAGAGGGAGGGCTGGCAGCTGAGTTCTCTGGCCATGGCACCGTCGGAGGTCTGTTGAATGGGTTCGACCGACATGCCTTGCAGTCAGTGGAGCTGATGATTTTTGGTAAACTCCATTGTCATGGTTTTCTAATCGCAGCAAACTGGGCCCAAACTCTCTAGCCATTATATTCCTAAGACCATATCCAACCCGATTAGTGGTAAAGCAAAGAGAGTAAGTCAGAAGGAAATATTGTTTAAGAGCACCGGAATGTCTTCAAAGCGCCCCCTGCATCTCATCGGGTCGCCATTGGCAACCTTGACCTGAAACGGTGAAGTCGGCACCACGGGAAGTTGCAGTGAATTGGGGAGCCGCTCACTGATGAAATTGTGAGTTGACCCGCTATCGATGAGAGCCACAAAGTTCTGTTTTTGGATGGTGGCGTGGATCTTCATCGTTTTCGGGATCGACCATCCTGTCAGAGCATGGAGGGAGATCTCCGGATCGGGGACGTTGGTTTCTTCTTCTTCTTCGTCGTCAATACCTTCCAGAAGGAGAAGCTGAGATCGTTTGCACCAGTGGCTCGCGGTGTACTTTTCATCACAGTGGTAACATAGGCCCTGTGCACGACGGCTCTGAGCTTCGCTCTAGGTGAGGCGTCGAGGTTGGGTAGTTGCAGGAACTAGGGTTTCCGTTGGTGGACCGCTTGGGTTGCAACTGAACCGGACCAATCATTTCTGACGATTCAACTGGTCCTCCCTCATGCGGGCCGGGCTGGTAACTTCTTTAAGGGTCTTAGGCTGGAACATTCGTATTCCCTCCGCAATCTCGGGCTTGAGCCCGCCAAGAAACGTGCCCACAAGGGCCCTTTGGGTCCAGGCCTGTACTCAGTTCCCCAGTTTTTCGAACTCTTTTTGGTAGTCTCGCAGTGGGCCGGTTTGTTTCACTCGGGACAGGGTCTCATCAAAGCCTTCATAGTCTGTTGGCCCAAGGGCCCATAGCTCCTTTTGAAACGCAGTTCAGGTGATTTCTCTTCTTTCTTCTCTGTATGTACGGCGAAGCAACTGCCACCATTGGTTGGCTTCGCCGGTCAGGTGGAAGGAAGCGAGGGCCACTTTTTGGTCGTTGATGGTTCCATGAAATTCAAAGAATTGATCAGCACGGTTGCACTATTCAGTCGGGTCGTCCCCATCAAACGTCGAAAATTCTAATTTGCTGATTCAGGAATTGAGCAGGGGTCTACTCCCTTCTACTCGTACAGGTGCTTCTTGGCAAGGCGGATACAACTACCCAAGGCGGGCGGTGTTGCTACTGGTGCCTTCCCTGTTGAGCATCAGGGATTCTGTAAGCCGGCGGACCGTGTTCTCGAGCTGTAGCATTCGGTCGAACAAGCCAACCTCCATCCAGCTGAATTAATCCTGCATTCCGTTCACGCTTGCTTCCAAGTTTTTTATCTTTTCCTTATTGGTAGCCATAACTCTGATACCAATCGATAGGTCCCGGTCAGAAACCTATTGAAAATAGGAAAATTTCTTCTTGTTTGGGTGAGAAATGACCACAAACTGTTTGCAAAATTCAGGTGATTCTTATTGCTGCAATTGAGTGCTTAGATACAAAAACTTTTAACTAAAATACCGCTAAACTATGAAGAAAACCAAAATAAAAGATAAACTTTAAAGATAAGATTGTGGCTGATTCTGGCTAACAGCTAGACTCCATTTCCTGCACGTTTCTCTTCTTCTTTTGCACATTCTGCTTGCATTCTGCACATGTACTTTTACTCAGTCAAGATACCTCTTGGATTTGGTCGTGAGGCGTGGTGGACGTGGGTGATCCTTGTGGTTTATCAAAAAGCAATGGCATTCTGTCCAGTAAAGAAAATACGGATAAGTCTGTTAGTATTTTCAAACAATGCCAAAACAGTAAACTAGCAAATGTTAACTAACGCGCAAAGTTGAATTTGATAATTTTTGAATTTTTAGTTGAATGTTTAAGTAGGTACTAACATATTTAAAAAATTGTCGTTTTGATTTAGATGATGGATAGTAATTTGTATAAGTAATGACTGTATGGATATGCTTTTATTTTAGATATAGTTATCCAAATGATGCCAATTAGATTTGAAGTTTTACAGGTATTAGATAATCGTTTGGTCTGTAGAATGAATTTATTTTCTAATTGTATATACTGAAAATATTCTGTAAAAATTTTAAAAAGAATAGCTTAATAGAATGTTGAGCAAAATCTTTATCGAGCTTATCGATTATAGTTCAAGCTTATTTGAATTCAAACTCGAGTTTGAGCTCTTTCAGGCTTGACTTTTAATGGAATTTCTCTTGAGCTAACTCAAACCTAATGTTTCTCAAATTCAAAGTCTAAAATAAAGTTTAAACTGGACTTCGAGCAAACTCGAGCTTGACAATATTATAAAAATCAAACTCAATTACTCAATGGTCAACTCTATTTGGCTCGTTAGTATCCCTAACTACAGGTAACAATTTTAAAGAACACAAGGTAAACCATTATAAGAATTGGAATCGACAAACAGAAATTTTCAATGAACTCACCACAAAAGATAGAAGTTTGATGTCTCCAAAGAGTGCTTGCATTCTCTAGCTTCCCAAAAGCTGACAAAGACTTGTGCATAGCAGAGATATAGAGTTCAAGCTGCAGTATGCAGCAGGAAACGTTAAAGAAAAGGAAATGAAATGAACAAAAAGAAACACTTAATACATCAAAAAAAGTTATTTTCTGCCAAGGATAAAGAATATATAAAATATATATTATGAAGGATTAGAATAACGTTAAGAAAGAATTTGATATAAGTAACATCACTTCTGTCTTGCAGTATAACAATGACAATTACCCTCGCACAAATAACAAATGACAATTACCCTCGCAACAATAACAAATGACAATTACAGGAAAAACTTAAAAAAGAAATTTAATAACTGAAAGATCATGAGACTAATATCGATAGAATAAAGTGAATCACAAGAATATACGAAGTAGAGATAAATAATAAAGATGTCTTCCACCAAAACACTCATAAAAGATGTCTTGCCATCAATTATGAAGCATTTAATATAAGGTCAAGGATAACATCTGTGATTCTCTTTATTTTCAGGAAACAAAGAAAAAAACATCTTTGATTCTGCAGTACAGCCTATGAGTCTTGCCCTTTGAATCAAGATCATGAATTACATTTAATCTATCTCTTACCATTTGAAAAACGAAAAAGGAAGATATTCTGTTGTAGCACTGTTCTGCAGGGCTGCGCTGCTTATCTTCCTTTGGTACCAAGCTTGTAAGCTTGTACCCGATGAAAAATTTCAAGGTTGGCATAGATATCTAGACTATAAAAAACAAGGAAGCTATGCTCAAACCTGAGAGCTCTTTTCTCATGCTTCAAAGGAAGGGCAATAGGGTAGCAACAGGGCAGGCCTGAAGAAGAAAAAATACATCTCATTTAGAGCAATGCAACACCAATGTAATAAATTTATGTCTGAAAATATGAAGTTTCATTACATGCAATTTTTGCACCCCAAAAATGCTATTAGAAAGATACCCAGGATTATCAATTTCACGCTATTATTTTCCCCATCAAAGTTCATTTTTAAGTATTGAAGCATTTTTATAGGATAACAACTCTAGAATACTATTGACACCCAAAGCTTATAAACCAGATGGACCATATGAACAATTGTGACAACTCTGACAGCACTTTTGCTGGTAAAAGACTACCGAACCACAAATGTTAATTTCGGCAATGGGTTAACCATGGAATATTCAGCATCACATACATAAAGAAAAGCAAATAGGAATATGGAAGGTGTAAGATACAAAAAATTTCCTGTTCATGCAGCATCTCTGTAACCAATAGCATTTATCAGCATCTCAGAGACAGCTCTGTCAAGAGTGAAGCCCCTCTCCATCATCTGATCCCACACCTTGCAAGCAACTGGGATATTCTTTTCCCGTAAAAGCCCTCCAATAAGTAATTTGAAAGTTACTTCATCAGGATAAAATCTCCTATGTTGCATCTCCTCATATAAACACATAGCTTCAGTTACTCTAGAGGACTTGCACAGTCCATTGATAAGGGCATTGTATGAAACCACATCTGGAGTGATACCCTGCTCTACCATGTCACTGAAAACACTACGTGCCACCTCGGTTTTCCCACTTCTGCATAGATGATCAATAATTGTAGTGTGAAATATACGATCAGGCAATAACCCCATCCTTGTCATTTGATCAAGAAGTTGCTTTGCGATATTGGCATTACCTTCTCTAAGAAATGCCTTAATAAGAATTGTGAAAGTTACCACATCGGATGCAATCCCCTTCTTAGCCATTTCCTCAAACAACTTGTAAGCCCTCCTAGTTTGGGATCTCTTGCAAAACGCCCCAATAATGGTATTATATGAAAAAACATCAACCAAGCCTTTTACCTCCATCTTGTTCACCATCAAGGAATAAGCTTTATCTAGATAGTTAGCTTTACAAAGCCCCTTAAGAAGTTGATTATAACTATACACATCAGGCTCTGTTCCACTCCTCCTCATCTTTATCATCAACTTATCTGCTTCCTCCAACATCCCTTTATTACAACAATAATTCAACAATATATTATAGGTAACCAAATCAGGAAGACATCTATTCTTTGTCATAAACAACTTTATTGCTAGTGCCTTGTCAATCCGATCTGCTCTACAGAATCCAGCGATCAATGCATTACAAACCAATGTACTCAACTCTACTTTCCCACCCTTCATAACATCAACAATCATCTCATACGCCAAATCAACCTTGCCACCATCACACAACCCAACAACAAGGGCCGCACACGCCTTAGTATCTGGATAAAGCCCTTTACGAATCATGTCCCTCCAAATCTCAATGGCATTATCGAACTTCCCAACTTTACACAATCCATGGATAATTATAGTATAAGAAACTACATCAGGGTTTCTCCCTCTCGCTATCATACTATGAAACACCTTAAGAGCTAACTCTACTTCATTGTCACGACACAAAAGACACAGATAAATATTAAAACCCCAGATATCGAGCACGTAGCCTAGTCTATCCATGTCCCTTAGTATAATCTCAATGAAAGCGAAATCACCAATTCTGCATAAGCCAGAGATAAACCGCGAACAAGTAAATGGGGTCAAAGAAAAACCCTGTGGGATCATTTCCTTGTAGTAGTGCTCAGCTAGGTCGAATCGGTTTTTACAGAGTAATACACCGATGAAGCGGTTGTAGTCGACACTGAAAACGCGGCAATTTGATCGGGTCATTTCATCGAACACCTGAATTGCACGGTCGATAAGGCCAGCTTTCACAAGTCTAGAGATTTGAGCACGGTACGCGAGGCGTGTCGCACCCAATATCTGATGCATATCAGAGTGAAAGCATATCAGGTGGGTGGGAATGAGGTGACCTGAAGTTTTGTCAATCAATGCAGCATAATAGAATGGAACGGAGAAAGAAGAAGTGCCGCCGAAGAGCGAAGAGCAGGAGCTGCAGCCTGCAGTTCTGTAGACTGGCTATGTAGCTGATTCGGGTTACCGAAATTTTTATTTTCTTCAAGGAGACATTAATGGGTTCGGAGCTCCAAGCCGAAGTTTTCTCCTGTACAACAATTATCGATAAGCTTAAGGGTTTTTGAGCTCCAATTAATCTTTTCCTTCATTTGAGGCTTGAGGTCTGGGGGAGTCTCCTGTCCAAAACTTTTCTTTCCGAAAAATTACTTGCTGAAATTACTGACTTAAGTATATCAATAAAATATATAATAAATTATTAAAGTGTTGTTATAATTTAGTTATTAATTTTTTATTTTAAATATTTAATTTTCCTTTATTTTTTGATATATAAAATTAAAATAATTAAATAATATTTTATTACTTTAAAAATAATAAAAAATTATTATTTAAGTTAATTAATTAAACTAATAATATTATTAAATCTATTATGATTGTTATTAATTTAGTTTAAATTAATTTTTAACTTATTTTAAGGCACTTAAATTATTTTTATTTTTTTAATTTTTTAATTAGAAAATAAAAAAAACTGAGTGTTTAGAACAAATAAAAAACATAAAATATCAAAATTTAACAAAAAAATATTAAAAATTAAATAATAGTAAATATTAAAATCTAAAAATTAATTATTATTGAAATAAATATAAGATTTTTATAACTTAAATATAACATTAAGACTCTCCATAAAAAATATTTTAAAAAGCTAAACTTGTTTGAATATAAATAATAAAATTCAACTCAATAAAATTTTACAAAATATTTGGTTGGATTTAATAATTTTATAAATGTGATGAAATATTATTAATTGCATAATATAACACAATTAATTAAATATAATATAATATAATATAATTACAATCGTTACGAACTTCCGACAGAGGCTTTTAATCTCCCAAAAAAAATTATTACCAACTATTTTTATTTTTGTTGAATAAAATTGAAATGTTCCGGAACTAGAAGAAAAATAAATTCATAAATTTAATGTAGAAGCATATAATAACATTAGGATTTATATTCCTTACACATAAATTTGAATGTCTAATAGGGTTACAAAATTTTATTTCATAGCAGTTCATAAAAAAAAACGAAATAAGCATATGAAAATAGTAAATAAATGTTGTAGGGAGATTAACCTCCACTATCTCTTGACGGGATCCGAAGGACACCTACCCACAATCTTCATGCTAATTAGGATATGGGTCTTAATCTGAAATGATTAATAGGGGTGAGCTACACTATCCTAATAAGAATATCATACCACTCACTAACATGTAAACTGAAGGTTGGTAAAAAAATATAAAACGACTAATGGATCTCTTAATTTAAGTAAGTTCATTTATCATAAAAAAAATCATTTATTGTATACTTACCGTTATGAGATCTCCAAAATCAATCTATAGAGATAATAACTCAAATAACATTATAATTTCTTATACAAATGAGTAAGAACAACAACTTTCATCTTTTTATCTGTTTACTGGTACCTTTGAGGGTTTATAGGGATGTCCCCCTGCATGTGAACCCAATATCTAAACTTATTAATTATCTGGCCGTTTCCATACCCCGTTCAGTATGAGTGCCAAAAATGTCATCCCTCGATACCCCATCTGTTATGAGGATGAACCGGGTCATTCCCATACCATACCTTATCTGGTATAAGCACCAAAAATACCATCTCTCGATACCCCGTCCGGTATGAGGTGACGTTCACAGTAGGGTTCCATATGTACCCGGTCCGTCTACCATCTCCTAAGATATCTAGTAAGACAACTATTTTATTAATTCACATCATCAAATAACTTTCCATTTGTATATAAATTTCATGTTTCACAATCAACCGTAAATCACACAAAACAAATGATATATATATCAAAGAAACACAACTGAATCATTTAACTATTTTAATATATTATCATGTATTTAAAGCTGTACACTCAAATAATGTAACAATCCCGAAAATATTCAAAGTAAATAAATGATAATTAGAGTGCGGAAGCGAAATAAAGGTTCAAGATTTACATTCATTACACAATAACTTAGAGTACCAATTAGTGTTACGGAATTCACCATTTTTAAAAAAATACAAAGAAATAAGGAAATGAATAGAAAATAAAGAAAACTATCATTCTACTTGCAATCCTCTTGCGGATCAGGTTCTGGATCCTAATCCTTTTGATATGAAATTGTTAAATAAGGGATGAGCTACACTAGCCCAGTAAGAATATCACACTATATCATCGACATAAAAATAAAGATTGGTAGAAAAAATAAAAAAAATAACTAATGAAGCACTAAATTAAGTAAATTCATTTATCAATAATAAAATCATTTATCATCCACTTGTCGTAGTGAGATTTATAGAAAACAACCTATAGAAAACAATAACATTTATATATCATGACTTCATATATAATCGGCCACATAACACATATTATACTTTCATATTCAAATAACCAAAACAATAACTGTCACTTTTTATTAGCCTGCTAGTATCCATGGGGGTTCATAGGGATATCCCTACTACGTGTGAACTCTTTCTTTTAACATTCTCAATTACGGGCCGTCCTCATATCCCGTCCGGTATGAGTGTCAAATTACCTAGTCTCGATACTCTATTCGGTATAAGACAACGTTCGCGGTATGGTTCCTTATGTACTTAGGTTCCTTATGTACTCGATCCGTCCACCATCTCTCAGGATATCCAGTAAGGCTATTGTTTCATCCATTCACTTATCATACAAATTTTACGTTTACTTTTAACCTCCATTTTTCCAATTCAACTGTAAACGCATAAAACAATAATACATGCATCAAAGCCATAAAATCAATCAATAAAGTACTATCATGCATTTAAACTATAAAAATAATTAAAAAAACAACAGTAGATAATTTTCGGTTCTGCCTCCATTAGCAATCGGTAATTAATTATGAATATTTTTTAAATTTTATAAAATATTGTATTTATTATTAATTAGA